TCACCCACTTCTGAGTGCTCTGTTTTTTGCCTTGATGTATTAATTTTTACATAAATATTATAATTAGTAGTTAATTAAGCACTTTTTAGTATTTACATTAATATGCTATTGTCTTCACTTATTAGCTGCTTCTTTAGAACCACAAATATTTGTGTACTCTTATGACAGTTCAACATTCTCTTGATTACTCTATTTTTGTAGCAAGTGTTTAAATTGGAAAGCACACACCTCCCAAGTTTATTTATATTTTACAAGATGCTTTTGGCTATTCCTGGTTCCTAGAATTTCTATAAACAATTTAGAATTAGCTTTTTAATTTATGCAAAAATCAAGCTAGAATTTTGTAGAGATTGATTTGAATCTGTATATGAGTTTTATGGAATATTTATATCCTATCAGTATTAAGACTTCCAATCCATGAACATGAAATGTTTTTCCGATTATTTAGTGTATTATTTAGTGTATTTCAACGATATATTCTGGTTTTGGGGTATGTTTTGTATTTCTTTTGTTAAACTGTATATTTTAGTATTTTCGATTCCCCTGACAATGGAATCATTTCCTTATTGTCTTCCTTGTTATTCATGCTATTGTGTAGAAATATAATTTATTTTATTATTTTTATTCACTTTATAAATTTCCTTTTTTTGATTGAAAAATAGAAATCATATATATTTGTTATATAGCATGATGCATTAATATATGTGTATATTGTGAAATTGCTAAAACAAGTTAATTAACATATGCATTACCTCACATAATTATCTTCTTTTATGTGTGGTGAGAACACAAAATCTACTGACAATAATTTTCAAATATACAGTATATGGTTATTAAGTATAATCATGACGATGTACAATAGAATACTTGAAATTAGACCAGACCTTCTGTCTAACTAAAATTTTCTATCCTTTGACCAGTTTTCTAAGCCCCCCACCTCCAAGTCTCTGGTAAACACCATTCTACTCTCTGATTCCACAAATGAGACTTTTTAAAATTTCACATATAATTAAAACAATGCATTATCTGTCTTCATTATCACATGATTTCCTCTATGTTTATCTATGTTGTCACAAATAGCCGGACTTTCTTCTTTTTGATGGATAAATAGTATTTCACTGTATAATTATATAAGATTTTCTTTACCCATTTGTCCATCATTGTACACTTAGGTTGATTTTATGTCTTGGCTATTTTGAATACTGCTGAAATAAACATGAGAGTGCAAAAATCTCAAGATACTGATTTTACACAGTGCAAAAATATCAAGATACTGATTTTACATACTTTGAATACATACCCAGAATTGGAACTGTTTGATCATATGGAAGTTCTATTTTTAATTTTTTGAGAAAACTCAACACTGTTGTTGAT